TCGACGGGTGATCATGGAGGGTGACTGGGCCCATCGACGAATTCATTCGGGGACTGCTTTGGGGTTTTATGGCCCAGGTCCCAAATTGCAGGGTAATCCTTGGAACCCCCCAAACTGCTGCTCGATCGAAACCCGATGACCGATGAGTCAATCACCTGATGGGACAAAATAAATTGGTTCCTTCAAGCAAATCCCAGCAATTTGCAATAATGTCCTGGGTTCGAAATTCATGCAACATGCAACAAGATGCAAAGGATTTTGCTCTACCCGGCTCTACCTGTTGAAAGTACACTAGACGTCCTAGACCTCGTCCTAGACCTCGAACGCCTCATTCTCCGAAGAAGTCTGAATGCGACCCGTTGGGGGGAGCAGCACTTGCCCAATCATGCATGAAATTCATGATCACCATTCCGGTCCCTTTGAACGACCCGTCCATTCCATGTCCCTTTGAACGACATCGAAACGGACCCAGGTGGTTTCGGAACCATGCATCGATATGCATCATGGAGGGGTTATAGAATTCCTTTTCATTCACATCCCGTCCATTCCTGTCCCACTGGCGACCTGTACCTGAATCGTCGAAACGGACCCAGGTGGTTTCGGTGCGAGGTGCCATGGAATCATTCAGCCTGAGCTCCAAGGACCTTTGGGGGGTTTGGAAACTTCCTGACACTGAGACCCATATGTCATCATCGGAACCCACCAGGCAGGATGATCCCCAACTCCAATTTGCCTCTAGGGATTCTGGGATCTCCCAATTCAAGGCCATTTGAAGGTCAAGCTGGTCGACAGGCTTGAGTGAAGGTGGCTACTTCCAGTAAGCTAGCTAGGGGTGCAATTTTGTCTTCAAAACCGCTACCTGCGAACGCGGGAGACAAGTTTAACGAGTGCATATTGGCCAAAAGGACTGCCTTTCCAGTTGGATTGCAAGAATCCTTGTCACACAGCAGCCAACCTTTAAAGTTTGTACAATATGGCCATGGGAGAACTTGAGTCCCTAGCCATGTTGGAACCAATGCCATATCGGTCCCCTCCTCCCTTATGATGCCCCTCCATCGAGTGGAGTGTTCTTTTTTTGCTCACTAGGGGCTAGAGGGCCCTTCTTACAGATTGAGTTTTTCCAGGATGAGGGTGAAAAGCCTGGAGTTAGGAGTGGAAGCGACGTATGCCAGTCGACAGGTTCGTAGAGCCCAGAAACCTCCAAAGCAGGACAGCCGTGGCCATAGCTCTCATGATGTTGACCGTCTTGGGAACTACTCGGATGAGAGCAATCAAGCCCGCAATTTTTGGAACTACATGCAGTTGCCACTGGACAGCAGGGTTGGGACCTCGATCTGCAAGGTCATGGCTTTTAAAATTTGGACTGCTAGCAGGTTTATATTTTGGGGGCATTTTTTATCCCTGCAAGGAGACTCGATATGTACGGGTTCGTATCAAAGGGCGTGCTGAAGGGTCCCACTGCTATGTGCAACTGCCAATGCTTGACCCTGGCGATATCTTGAACTATCTTCACAGTCATGTACTGGAAGCTCCTATGAGTGAAGTTCAACGGTACTGGGACTCTTTGCGATCGAAGGGCCTATTGTCAAATTTGGTGACTGACCAGCACATACCGGTCACCCTGTACGGAGATGAGGTACAAATCAACAAGCAGGGAGATTCGATCCTTGGACTTTACATCTCGTATACCCTGTTCAAACCCCGCAAGGTTCGCACGATGCACTATAATTTCTTTACTCTACGCTCTCACTTGGTCGATGGAGTTCATACATTGTGGCCGATTCTTCGACGAGCTGCAGCTAGCCTGAATGCAGTTTTTGATCAGCCAGGGGTCAAATTTGCAGTTGCCGAATATAAAGGCGATTGGCCTTTCTTGAGGAAACTGTTCCGATTCATTCCCTCCTACACAGGACACCGTATCTTGGCGATATGCTTAATTAACCTGTTTTCCATATGGGCGCAGTTGTGTATGGCATGTGTGTGTGAAAGAATTTGAGCATGTCTGCATGGTCCAGGCATGATCATGTGATCATGAGCTCGAGGTGTTTGCTACATGTGTGATGCGAGTACTCATGCTGACAGCTCTCCATTTTGGTGTATGGATGGTGATGCTCGCGAAGTTTCCACACCAAGCTTCATCGCACGCATGCTCGATCCCAACTGCACCCCGAGTACCTTGCCTGTATACTAGCTAGGCTGTAGTCGAGCTATATATATGCGTGTATATATCTGCCACGGAACCTAGGCCCACTTATTTGCATCAAAGGCTTTTCCCCGCTCTGCATCAAGCCGTGCACGATGCACATCTGCAATCTGGGACTATTATTCACCGTTAACGGTGCAATCCTGTACCATACTCAGTACGCTTGGTAGAGCACTGGCACATATTGCGCATTGGATGCACGGTACATGCGCAATTAATGGGGTGATTGGACTGTATGCTCAGGCTGACCCTGATCAATGCTGGATACTCACCGGATCAAGTGAGTATCCAGGAGCTTTTGCGTGTGGCTTACGAGGACTTTAAAGCTTGGAGGAAGTCAAAGAAGATTGCTTGCTCGCAGCGGATGTTCAAACCATCGCAGGTGGATCGTTTGGCCCACGGGGCCTATCTGGCTGCGAAGGCATGGAATTCCAGAATACTTCTCCAATGGCTTCATGAGAGCGCAGTTCAGGCTGCCACGTTGCAGAATTTCGATAGCGCCGGAGGGCGCACGTTGGGGGTATGGCTGGCTGAGGAGGTTCGTGCAGGTCGGAAGGCATGGCCTACTGCAAGTGACACCCCATTCTTGTTTCTGGAGCCATTGGCGTCGCATTTTGGCTGTAAAGTGTTAAGCGCACTGATCATGATTTTTGTCATGCTTCATCCCAGGCATGCTAGGGGCTGAAGGGCGCTACTAGGGGCTCCTGGCATCGCTACTAGGGGCTGAAGGACATTATAGGGGCTCCAGTCATCGCTACGCTACTAGGCTACTAGGGACTGAAGGACGCTACTAGGGGCTCCTGGCATCGCTACTAGGGGCTGAAGGACATTACTAGGGGCTCCAGTCATCGCTACTAGGGGCTGAGGTCGCTACTAGGGGCTCCTGGCATTGCTACTACGGACTGAAGGAAGCTACTAGGGGCTCCTGGCACTCCTGCATTGCTATTAGGGCTGAAGGACGCTACTAGGGGCTCCTGGCGTTGCTACTAGGGCCTGAAGGACACTACTTGGGGGTCGCTACTAGGGCTCCTGCCGTTGCTACTAGGGCCTGAAGGACACTACTTGGGGGTCGCTGCTAGGGGCTCCTGGCGTCGCTACTAGGGCCTGAAGGACGCTACTGGGGGTCGCTACTAGGGGCTCCTGGCGTCGCTACTAGGGCCTGAAGGACACTAGGGGCTCCTGGGGTCGCTACTAGGGCCTGAAGGACGCTACTTGG